TAATTTATCTGAAAGGAATCTTTAATTTTAAAAGAAAATATTTTATGGGAAGATCAGTAAACATCATACAATTTTGCCTTTCATGTAATTGCCCATACAAGTTCTTAATTAAGATTGTCATAATTTTGTTTGAGTATTTCGTACTAAGAAAGTAAGGTTTTATTAAAATGTGGAAATCAATGTCAGATTGATTCCAACTCTCACAGGGGGATAAGTTTCACTTAGACATTAAAAAAGACAGAGATCATACAGAAAAGTCAGTAACAAAAGTTTACACATACTTCTTTTCTAGCTTACTCACAAAAGAAGCTTTAAGGTCTAAGGATGAGAAAACTGAATTCCCTTTCTAAAGGCTAATTTGTATTTCATTTTTGTTGTCCAAAGCATCAGTAAAAGGCCTTTCACATCAATCAGTAGCTCTCTCTGACACAAGGAAAGTATTATTCTAATGCAGTTAGACTGTACATTATTTTTTGGCAGGGTGGGTAGAGGAGAAGGGGAAACTTGGGATGGCAGCATATACAACTTGTGGCAGAAGAAGATAAAATGTGAAAGTTTTGGCTTCCAAGGATGGAAGTAGGCACTAAATCCAAACAAAATTTTCTGGTGTGACTAATTCAAACATATTAAAACAAGTAACTTACAAAGCAGTCGTATTCAAACAGTCCTGGAGGCTCATGTGCATTGTGTTATTTCATACTATCATGCACATAATTAGGTGACCCTTGAGGGAAGAAATCAGTGCTTATGTAATTCAGTTGAGGTCAAATGCAGTTTTCAAACTGGGTTGGCCCCTGGGGGTGTGGAAACAGGAGATAATTTCTGAGACACAGAGGAAAATTCCAGCCAGTTTGTGTCCTCCCTCCACTTTTCTTCTCTACTCCCCCACTCCTGCAGCATTACCCCAGCACTTGCAGCTCTGTTGGCTCTGGAAGCTTTGTGGAAAATACAATCTGTGATTTCAGCTACCAGGGCCAGGGAGCGTGGGAGCCAGCCATCCCAGAGCTTGGGGGAAAAAAACCCCAAACCAACAAACAGGAACTTTGCATAAAAAGTTTGAAAACTGCTAACTTGAATAAATGGTCCAGAAACCACAGGCTGCTGAGGGCATCAGACCCTGCCACTAAGGGGACCTCACTGTGAGGCAACAATTCTGGCTGCAGTACCCGCTGGTCTTTCTCCTTCACCACGTGGCCCAAGACCTCAGCCATGTCCTTAAGCAACCCCACTGCTATCTAAAGGCTTTATAATTTTTTTGTGCAAAACTTTTAAAGCTCACAAAGCTTTGAGCCACTGGCCAAGAGTGCAAGTAGCTTATCAAAGTCATTCCAAGCAGAGAAAATTGTAAAAAGCAGAAGTTTTCTATCCTTACTTAATCAGACTCTTGTAGGTCAGTGTTCTATGTGGTTTCATATGGCTGCTGTACAACCAAGATGTTGAATAGTATCAGATAAGAAAATGTGAACCATTGATCCAAGGGAAGTGTGGGAAGCTGGGCATTAGAGCAAGTACTCCCAGGATATAGAAGTCATGGAGAATTTAAGTAATTTATACACTTTCCTGGGCCCTAAATTTTAAGGACAATAAATGGCTACAAAAGTAAAAGACCTATAATGGAATCAATCAATATATTTAGTTGATATGATTGCTGTGTTATTTTTACTTAGGTTGAAGATAACCGCATGGGTCCATGTCAAACACTGGGGCAGTCTCTGTCATATCACAGAAAATCATTTTTCTTTCCCAATTGTAGCAGCTGGGTAAATATTTTCCTAGTCCTAATAAGCAAGTTAGTCTTGTAGACAAGAAAGAGGAAATACATAGAGCTCTAGTAAGCCCTCTACAATGTATTCATAACCTGTGTGATTCTTATTGCCTGAATTTTATGTAAGTAGCTATTGTAGATTTGAATTTTTAGGCTGGTACTTCTTTGAAGTGTAGCTGTCTGGTGATAAAGGTCCACGGTTTGGACAATACTGAAAAAAAAACAAAAAAAAAAAACTTGTAGCACGATTTTTTTTGTTTGTTTGTTTGCTTGATTCAGTGCCTCCAGTAAGAGACATACGGAAAATTTTCTTAGTTCTAACACATGAACATTTTTTACCCTCCATAGTATATGCATGCTTGCCAGAGAGCTCTGCTTTATGCTACTTTTACTGCTAGCTGAGGGGCTCCACATCTACTGTATCCATCATGCTCCAGCTGTTAGCACACTTACCTCCTCTTCTTCTTCTTCATTCCCACCCTGGGAACTGTTTAATTTTCTTTCACTTTTTCTGTTCTGTGAGCCCATTATTTTGGTTTTCTTTGCTCATACTGTTTGTGTTGCTCTCTCTTTTATATCATTCTTTTTGCTTTTGTATCACCCCTACAGCCTTGGTTTCTGACACAGAGTAAGAAATAGGTCAGATTGACAGTGTAGTTAGTATTTGGCATTGCAATAAAAAAGTCTGTGTCACCAGGGGGCATCCTGTGCTTTAGGTCCTTTGATGATACTTCGGATTTTGAAAGAAAAAATTCTGTTAGGGAACTTGGCTGACAGAGTATCCATCCACACTGTTTCAGTACCTTATATCTGAAATTTTAGAACATAATTACCTTACAGCCCAGTCAGTTTGTGCTTCTGTCTGCAGGAGGCTTATATCCATATGACTCAAATCACAGACACACAGCTTGGAGTCACTAAATACAAACATCCTCTTCAAACAATGGGTTTAAACATTTTGAGATATTTCTCCTTACAGAATATGAAGTCTAAGCTGTGTCAGGTAAAGAATCTGCTGTTGCAACGTAAACTTGGATGTGCCTGAGAAGGAATTCTAGCTCTGGCAATTGACATTGCCACTGTTGCAGAACAGAGCTCTTAGCAGACCAAAACATAAATCAGAATTTTTGGCTGATTCACTCTGAATACTGAAAGGGGGGGGGAACCACCAAACCCCAAATCGTATATGACAATTTTGCTTAACTTCCTTCTTTAGAGAATGGGATTACAGTTAAGTTGGTTTTGTGTTTGTTTGTTTTCACCTCCGCCCCCCACCA